AGATGTTGAAGTAGCTAAGCGTTTACATTTTACAAAACAAAAGAACCTGAACGTAAACGCTCGGTAATTTTAATTATTGTAAAATATATATAATAGGTAAGGATGAGAGAACAAAAATAGGCGTATTATACATTACTATAAACGATTGTTTCGTTGCGTTGTAATTTAGTTGTGGAGGATACTAATGTGTTCGTGAATATTTGCGTAAGATTGTGTGTGTGTGGGAAGACGGTTCGCGTGTAGAAGATTCGTCCGGTGTTATATGTTGAAATCATAGTAGAGTGTTCTCGCGGCAGGATTTCGTTAAATAGCGTTTGCGTAAAGTGAAGCAGATCGCTCATTGGCCAACTGATAATTTGTCCGTTTCGTTTTACGATTATAATCTGCAACATTACGCGAAGGTAGGTAAATTGGTTTAGGCGAAAGAACAGGCTGTGCAAATTAGAGACACGTTCTACGATTGCAGCTAATTACCTATAATTATAGATTCGATTATCGATTGTATACTACGTAATTGACGATTGTGTAAAATTGATATATAATAACAGAAGCGTTATTATAGATACGATTAAAATGATTACAAAAGGTACATCTCATCGTTGCAATACTCAAAATAACATTTTCTTAAATTTTTATAATTATCGCGTATTTTACAGAAATCGTTAACTACTTATATTCGAAATGCTTGACAGTATATATAACTATACAATATACTTGCGAGATGAAAGTCAGCCTTTTTCTTCCGCATTCATTTTGTATCGCGATTTTAAAAATGCACAGTCTAAACAATAGTTTAATTGGACAACAACGGTACATATGTAATTAGTTTGATTTAATCGGCGATTATTTTGTGATAAACCAATGCGTCGTATGTAATTAATTTCATTAAAATGAATAATGTATTTTCACTTAAGATAGCTGCTGATACCGATTTCTTTCCGACACACGCTTCGTACTCTATTCTACTCTGCATAGAACATTCACAAGATTTCCAGCTAATAATAGATTGCGTAATTTCCTCTCGCGCCCGAGAAATTAATTACATCTGCTCAACTATTCCCACAAAATAATGAATTTCTGCTCCCGTCTTCGCGCCATATTCGCTCCGTTATTCTCAGAGGAAGGTTTCTGGAGAAAGTGAAAGATCATGTGGCATCCTTCACCTTCACCCATTGTCCTGTATATTTGCCTCGATCTCACTTTGTGTCCTCGAATAAGCAAAAATTGCAGAAAGATTTGATCAATTAACCGACAGATATAATGCAATTTCTTAATACATTAATCAAAAATTCAAAAGAGAGAGAGAGGAATCTAAAGAATATTTTGTATGGACGCGGAAATAATTCCAGAAAAATATTACCAACGAATACACACACACACACACACACACACACACACAATTCTTTTGAATCGTATATATGTGTGTATCTTAAAATAAATTTTAAGCATAAATATTTTATTTGTATTACACAACATTTGGATATATTTTAACAAATGCATATCATTTCACACACACATACACATACATAGTATGAATCATATTTAGAAGAACAGTTCTATACCCTTGTATGTGCGCGCGTATATATTTATTCTCGATATGCTCTGAATGTTCCCTTCAACAAGAAAAAGAAATAAGAAGAGTATCGTAGCAATTAAAGCATCATTTTAACGACTGAAGAAACAATGAGGAAAAATTACATTTGCATGTCTGCTATCAGGCCATATTCGATTTATGATTTAAAGATGATTTCTAACGCATGCCAGAAAATTGTTACAAAGTGATGATCTCTCTCTTCTTGCTTATAATGCGCTTATAATTATACGCGTATCGCGTATGTAAGATTATATATCAATAATTTTATTATTTATCTCAAAAGACAACTCACTATAATGTTGAGCGAATTACGCTATGTATGCAATTATATCACCATGGAAGATTAAACGAGTCAAAAAAAAGAGAAAAGTGGAATTCATAATTCCTCTTGTACAAATCACAGAAAAATTGTAGAATGTATTTGTGCGCTTTAACTTTTAATTATTTTTTAATCAGAAAACATAGTATTATACATAAGAAACTTTTCATTATAGGTATATATTATTTTTAACATATTTTTTAAACGCTCTTAATTAATTGTGAAAATATCATTATCGCGTATATTTTATGATTGTGATGTACACTCTTTTAAATATCATATATATAAGATTATTTTATATATACGAAAAGAGAAAGAGAGAGAGAGAGAGAGAGAGAGAGAGAGAGAGAGAGAGAGAGAGAGATATGACAAATACAATATGCGAAGTCTAACACAAACATTATATGAGAATAATTATGTCGTTACTCAAGTAAAATGCACTATTGTAAATATCGATTGTATTGTATATCTAATCACATAGAGATATTTCTCTCTTTTTTGACAAAGACAAACATTTTCTCGTTGTTCACCTATTAGAAAGTTCTTGTTTATATGCAGTGTGTATACATCGTCCGAGCGTCTCGGAAGAGGAGACAAACCGGAAGCTACTTCAACTGAATATCCGTCATATATACATATTTCCTCTTATACGCGCACGGAATACTCTTTGTACCATACATGGAAACTTGAACGTTTTCTCAGTGGCTTGAGTGAAAGGTACTGCGATCGTTCCACACCGTTTGGATCCACTTCCGATATACCTTCTCAATTAACGACAATTAACTTTCGAGAGAGAATGCTTCCCTTTATCGATTTAATAAAGAGAAATTATTTATATAAAATTGGTTTTTTTTTTTTACCGATATAAAAGTTGCTAAGATTACGATGGAAAAAAACTTTACTTTTTATTTATATTATAAATTTTTGGAACATTAAANNCTTCTTTTATACAAGTTTCTAATCGGTTTGGTAATCGGCAATTCATGCATCTAAAGAGTAATATTTTCTCAAATTATATTATCGATGGAAATCGATTTCAGAGAGAAATTTAGCAAAATGAAAAGAGAAAGATATGCAAAAAATGGAATACATTCAATTAGACATAGAAGATGTAATAGAAACGAGAGAAGAGATATGCGAGAGAAACCAGATAGAGGGTCAAAAGTTACTCTGTTAGTGGGTGAGCATTCGTTTCTACTTTCAATGCGTGCAATCTTTGTTGTTTTTCTATCACACTCTCCGAGTTTGAGTACAGTAATCACTAACAGTTTGATCTAAGACCTAGAGAAGATAAAGGAATAACTAAATTAATATAAATAATTAATATAAACTTTTTTAAAACTTGCTGTAAAAGCACGTGTTAAATGAAAGGAAATATAACAGGGATAAAAGTGTTAAATGAAATGGAATAATATTAGATATAGTGATATAAGAAATTCGATGATAGTTTTGCAATCGTCTCTGCTACTGAGAGAATTACAAATGCAAATAAAATTTCACAAAATTACTATAATACTTATTACGTATTGCAACATTAATTGTAGTTCGTAAAATTTTTATGCTATAATTAATGTAGCAGTATTTGAGTACGAACAGACAAGTATGATTACCACTCGTTCATCCTCATAAGAGAAGACGAATAAAAAACATAATTAATGCACAGCGCGATTCTTTTCTTTTTGTATACGATTACTGTCTCGGCAGTGAAATTTCACTAAGATTGTCGAGAAAGATAATCCGAGAATTTGCGATGCAATAGGCGCGCTAGCAACAATCTGGTTACGTCAGACGCGGCAATTTCATTAAATTTGCATATATTCCAATAATCTATGTGCCCCTGGCAATATACATATTAAAGCGAATCTGTGGGGAAATTTCGAAACGCGAATCCAATCAAACATTAAAGCACCCGTTGCGGAAATGCGCGCGAAAATAATGATTGATGGATTTTTGATATCATCATACATGTGGTCTGATCGAAATAAGTAATATAATTATTATTTAATATTTTCTTCCAACCCCATAGCAAATATATGTATTGATAACAAGTGTTATAACCACGCGCGATTAATATAACTCGTGCAAATAATTCCATCTCTACGAAAGCATTAATTTTTTGTATTACTATTATTTTTTTTACTTTTAGAGTATTTCTTTATATTTTTATTTATATTCATACACTATATTGCTTATAATAATTTAGAGGTTATTGTATTCTCAAACGTCATTTTTATTAACAAGAATAGCAATACTTCTTATGCAAATTTTATGTGTGGACACAAAATTTTACAGCTATAAAATGTAAGAATAATAAAATAATTTTCAACGTGGCTTTTCCTACGTATTTAAATTTTTTAATGTTCGCATTTATACGATTTGGTCACTATAGGTTTGTGATTTTAGAATGAGCATGGAAACCAACTTTATCATCGGGTTATAATACGCGAATTAATGTACTGTGAAGCTGCAAATAACTTCCACCTTGAGAGCGTTATCCTATCGCCTCATAATCAACTAAAGTGCGAAGAATATTGTATTGTATTTTCATATTTACAGACATTTTATCATTTTTATAAAAAACTGCAATTTTTTTGATAAAAATCGATACAAAAATCTGTGATATTGTATATTAATATTAATTCGTTTACTAAAATTATAATACAAAATGAAATTACAATTAAGCGTGCAAAAGATTAGATAAGTATCACCGTCATTTTTATTCAATTACTTCCGTCATGTAAATCTCTTGCCGGTCATTTGAAGAAAGTTTTTTGACACAGGGGGAAAGTTACAGCTATGCGATAGAGTTCAATAAAGAAAATGAAAGTAATTCTCTCGAAAATCATCACTCGAAAATCGTCGCGCTCGATAGTTTCTTTAATTTTTTGACTATAAGTTTAAGTCGGAAATTAGTTAAAACAAATATGTAAAATATTGTAAAGTGTAATTAAAAATTTCATTAAATTATATTTCTGTATAATTAGATGTATTAGATAATGTTATAAATGCGGTTTTTTCCTAATTTTAATTTTCATTTAATAATAAAATAAATAGAATAGATATAATTTTAAAATATTATTTTCTTACCTGTTGAAAATGCGGTAAATCGGGATTTAAAATTGCAGGATCGACTTCAGCAGCTATGAAGATGTCCACTCGCAGTATCAACGCGGTCCATAGAACGCACAAATATCTTCGCTTCATCGCGGAAAATAATTTTCTTTCTGGCTCTCAATCTCGACGTTCACACCACGACGAAGCACCTGTTGTATTCTTCTTCGAATTTCACCAATTCCGGTACATCAGAATTTTCTGTATTAATTTACGGATACTTTCAGTAGTCTATCTCAGTTGTTTACAATCCTTGTAAATGAAAATGAGATTCACCTTTCTTTTAATTATCTCGCTGAGATCAGATGTGCAGATGACGTTCCCCTTATTGTCTTAACGTTTGTTTCAACTTCTTCGATCTTATCAGTATCGTGTTCTCGTCTAATGGCGCAGAAGAAATTCTCGTCTCCTGCGCGTTTTCCAAGATACTAGCATTGAATTCAAGCGCAGCGCGTCTTCCTTCCTTCCTTCCTTCCTTCCTTACTTGCTTCCCGTAGTTGAGAAGAGGCGAGAGATCAGGAAGAGCCTAAGCTGCCAGTTGAGTTTAACGAGTTCGCACGTCGACGAGAACGAGTTCGGAACTGTTGAAGATCAGAAAAGGTCCGAGAGTTTTACTTCTCCGATGTGGGAAGAGTTCTTGTGGTCCGTCAGGTGGGAGACAGCCACCAGATAGAACGGTGAACGTTACGAATAAGGAACCCACTTCTTCTCTCGGTATTTTCCTCCGGCGAAGTATGCTCTATAATATCGATTAAACAAGATAAAAACAGAGATCTTTCTTCACGCGTGTGCAATAACATAAATCGAGAATAAAAGAATCTTTACACTAAACGAAGAAGTACTCAGCTTGTTCATAAGATTATTTTACCAAAAGGCCGAAGTTATATTTCACACAAAAATCACATTTATAATGTATGTGTATAATAAAAGAAAAAATACATAATCATCGTTTATATTCGCACGCGTGTGCAAATTATTATAATAACTTGCAGCCTTTTAATAACTGTTTAATAATTCTTATCGTTTCACACAATAAAAATGTTGTTCTATTTTTGCATTTTAATTAAACTACTCTAAAAATGGTTTATAATTATTAATATTTTAACCGTGCTTTGCGCATGGTTGTTTTGCCATTACATAAGGAATCCACGGATAAAATTATGGATTAAGAAAGTGACACGCTTCAGTTTAATAACTTGCAGTGAACTTTCGGAAGATTAAAAAAAAAATATTTGCAAGAAGCAATCGTTTAACCGTTTAACCAATGATCGAAGCGACAAAAAGACAAAAAGAAACTCCTTTCATATTCCGTTTCTTTATTACTAAATAAAAGATCGAAAGAGTAGCATTATATAGGAAACGTTTATTCGCTTGTACAGTATTACTTAACACTGATCGAGATCGAGCGGAAAACTTAAACGGACATTGGCCCATTATACAATTCCGTCCAAAACAGTGTTCCGGAGAGCAAGCAATTGTGCGACGTGGTGTTTTAAAACTGCTTTTTTTCGTGCACCGCTTCCTGCGCATAATATAACGCGATTTTATTCGCTGTTCAGCAATGTTCTCGCAGAAATGTGCGGCATATTAATCGGCCTTTAAACGTTCGCTTTTATATTATGTAAATTTTAACGAAATTATTACATCAATTAATTTATGAATTGTATATAATGCTTTTATGATTGTATTCGATATGCTTTTATGATTTTATTCATGTGGATATATTTCTGTTATCTATATACTTTATAATTTTTTTTAATTCTTTTCTTTTTTGTGTAAATATATGCCATCGTGTTAAACTAATATACATGTAAGATGAATACCGTGATATCTCTTAATGGATCTTATATTATCACGAATATAGAAAGTTAGTATAAGCCTTACGAAAGCCCTATCATTACAAGTAAAAAAAAAAAAAATAGATCTTGGAATTTTAGTTGAGCACGGAGCGTGTGAAGCAACCGAAGCGTGTATGAGAGCAACGGGAAGAAGCGAGTTCGTGCAACGAAATGATGATTAATAATTTACGCAATATAGCGATGTTATTAGAGAATCAAGATCACATGATACGTACTCGCTCGATCTGCGCCCATCATGAAACGTTACTTTCTGATTAAGCAGCTAAAATCCTCTCGGAATCGCTCCGGGCGACGAAAACGCGCCCGATTACAACAAATCTTCCTTTCTCCACTCTCGATTGTATGACGGCGGGTTTCATTTTGAATCGATTACCCACTTAAAAGAAGGATTCCATGACATGGGAAAGTTCGTCTGCATTTAATAAAAGTATCTTCGAACACCGCCTGATTGACTAATCTTGGTGACAAATTCCGTGAATGCGTGCGCATCAACTTTCTCTCTGAAAACTTTGATAAAGCTCATCACATTTTTTAACAACTTTAAAATGAATTAACATATTCTTGAAAAAAAATTAAGATTTATGAACATTTAAATGAATAAATTTTGATATATAATCGCGCACTATAGAAAGTTTATTGACATAATTTGTAAAAAAACTCTCATTTTTAAATTATAGTTGAATCAATATCTCAGCAAAGAAAAACTTTACTATTTTTACACAATATCCTTAAATAATAATTTTTATCCAATAAATAATTTTATTCTCAAAGTTTTATTTTTGATAGTATAGTAAGTAGTACTACTGTAGCACAAAAATTCAGTCTTAAAATGAAAAATACACGTATATATATTCACATATACTTATTCTTATACAACAGATATATATTAGTCATTCATTTTGCAAAACTGTTTATTGGAAAAAATATCAAATATGCTAATTTAGTATCATTTACATTCTAAATATCGTGTGCTAAGAAGTTGCATGCAGTTTTCCAAGCATATTACGAAATCTGGAAAACATAAAAACATAAATGATTAAACGAGAACAAGAATTTTTGCATGATAGGTAGTTATTTATAATCTCAAGCTTGTTCATTACTCAATATCACACACTGTATTTTATCAAATTAAGATGCCAATCTATGTGTACAACGCTATATATACATATATATATATATATATATATCGTTTTTCCACATATTATGACTAGGTCACATATATTTCTCGTTTCTCGAAATTGTGACTACATTGGTAAACACGATCTCGAGATTTTAACAATTTCAAAATGTTTCGATTTTTAGATACGCGCAAAATGATTTTGTCGATATCATGGTCATATTATTGATGTACCCATTTGACTTGTCTTCTAATCCTATAGAATATTTAAGATATTATGTATGAGATCAAAAAATTCGCTATAAAGAAGAAAGCATACAAAATATTTTTTAAAAATAAATAAATAAAATAATTATGTAAAAAGCAATCACACACACAATTTGTTGATTAATTTTATGTTACGAAATTACGATGTTATAACCGTTTCCAATCATAGAATTCCAATTAAGACATTAAAAGAGCCGCGTTACGTAAGATAACATAACGTTGTCGTAAACTTATCACGAATGAGACATCTGCCATGTCACTACGCGAAAAGTATTGTGTGGATATACGACTATATCATGTTTGGGAAAGAGGCTTTCCTGTCCGTGTGTGAATCCTCGTTAAAAAGCGTTTCACTCGAATGAAAGGGAGCGGAAGCGATCTTAATGAGGCGAGAATTATGCGATTCCTTATACATCAAGAGATCTTTTTAAGTTTTCAGTAGTGTGTAAAAGCTGTAAAAAATATCGCAGAGATAAATAATAATCGACCAATATTAAATAATTTAACAATAGGTAAAATATTTTGCCGATAAGATTAGATGAAAGAACGCGCTAATTTATCTTGATCGTTAATGATCATTAATGAGATAATCTGCGTGATGCAATATGTTAAATAACAATGATTCTACCGTAAAGAAAATGTTCGAACGTTTCTTTTTTACGTCTCAATCTTCGAGTTTGCGACTATCACCTTTGCAGACATTTTTCTGCTCGCCAAGGTAATTGCTCGGATAATTTGCCGCCAACGCGTTCGCCGACATTGTGGCCGCATTGCACCGCAATAATATCGCGTTGTAACAGCGGTGCACTGTACTTTCCAACTATCTAATTAGGTCGCCAAATATGGTGACACACACACACAAAGAAGAAGAATATTGAATAGAGAAGAAAAGATGCAAGAAAGCTAATAATATTCTTTACTGTTTATAGAATAAAGTTTAATTTCCTTTTCATTCTTATTTGGTAATTAATGTCCGTTTCTAAAAATGCGGTTTAAATTTAATCATTAATTGTAACTTGTAGAATGGCCAATATTAAAATATCAAATTTATATTATATCATATACAAGGGCTGTCCATAAAATAACCGAACTTTTAAAAAAGCGCTCGAGTGCGATGATTCTTTTTTCTTACATCACGAGCATGACGCTATTGTTCTTAGTTTACGTTTTATGGTGGTTCGAATGAGGTTGTGTTCGGCGTTCGTGGCGATTTTCTAGACGTGGCGTTTTTTTTTTCTTCTTAATTTCTTGTAAAGTTTGACAGAGGCAGTGAGAAAGCAGAGTAGGTGGTTGAACAACAATCGTCGCGTGTCTTGCCAAAAACTCATCTTTGATAAGGAACAACGCGTGTGCGGGTGCATTGTCGTGATGCAGCATCGATGAATTGCTGGTCCACGCTTCCGGCCACTTCTTTCTCACTAATACCTCTCATCTTAAACTCTGTAAGAAATTCTAGAAAAAAAAAAAAAAAAAAAAAAAAAATTGCCACGTCTAGAAAATCGCTACGAACGCCGAACACAACCTCATTCAAACCACCATAAAACGTTAACTAAGAACGATAGCGTCATGCTCGTGGTATGAAAAAGTTGCTTGAAAAGAATCCCACTACATAGTGCCACAAAGCAAATGGCACCAAATCATCGTATTCGGTCACTTTTTTAAAGTTCGGTTTCTCTATGGACAACCCTTGTATATCGATATTATAAGAGAATATCATTGCAGTTACAGGAAAATTTGATTTGGTTCTTCTTCAAAGAATCTAGATAATAATATTCTTAGAAATAGTATTCTTAAATTGAACGTGAAATTAAATAAGATTACATACATATTCATGTTTAATATATGTATTCAAAGCGTTTACTTGCATGCCGGTTTCTCCATCCTAGCGCCTGCTAACGTGAAAATTATTCGAAGATGACATCGATCGCGAAATCGCCGAAATCGCGATATTGTCATACATAATAGCGATTGTGTAAGCAAAGTTTTATGCAAACATCTGATGCTTTACGGGAAAAAATTCGCGATCATTTTTCATTAATAAAATTCACTTATTTAGACAGTAACAATTGAGAGAAACATATATTTGGGATAATTTGAATCTATCTCAATCTCTCTCTCGACTCTTCCATCTCTCGCGGCACGTTTCACAACTAATTACGATTCAAAATTTTATCGACGAATGGTAATGAGATTCTCAAAGTATTAAAATCGGGGAGCATTATCCCCATTCTAAAATCCTCGACATTGCGAAAAAAATAAAATTTGCGTGATGATTCAAATAAATACCAAAACTGATTAAGATAACGCATTAAATGTAATAATTACTTGGTAAATGTTTAGAATTAACCGCTTTACTTAGATTTTGATGAAAATACATTTAATCAATGCCTTTTTGCATAAAACCAAACCTTTGAAAAGTAAAAATCATCGCCCAATAGTGTAAAAAGAGTTATTAAATGTTAAAGATACCACTTTTGAAGATTAGGAAATGTCATACCATATAACATTTCACCAAACAATCTGCCATCGCCCAGTTGTTGAGCATTTCTTATTAGTTTTACATAAATTATTGAATGTAGTTTCTGGTAAAAAACCAATAATCTCTCTATCTTCTTGTATTCTATATGTAAACGTTGACTCATGTGTCCCTATGAAATATCTAATTAAAAAGAAAAGAAAAAAAAGTTATTTGAGATTTGTACATCTTACAAGTGTTTATAAAAGATGGCTTATGAAAAAATAGTCTTTGTTCTTAGAACTATATTCATAGTGAGTCATTATTACAATTTATATAAATATTCTTACCTAGCATATGAACAAATTATCTGATCAATAATGGCAACTCCACCGTCTTTAAATTTATTTATCACATAATCAGATGGTACAAACTTCAAGACCTTGTATTGAGGCATGTACGATTTAAGTTCTTCAAATTCTGAAAATGTCTGTTATTCAGTTCATATATATATATAGAGAGAGAGAGAGAGAAGTGTAAAAACAATCTTTTTAACAATTGCGGAGAATTTGTAGAATAGTTAAATTTGTAAAATAAATGTACCATGTTGCTCCCCATCTGTCGCAACAAACAACACAGTTAATCCAAGCTTATCCATTTTTTCTTGTAATTGAGAAGCAGCGCTATTTATTGTTGGTATTGACTCCTTATGACCTATAATAAAATCGCGTCTCCTAAAATGAACTGCCAAATATGGACCGCCTCTTGCATTCCGCCGACTCTAAAATTAAAATAATTTTGTCACCACTAATAAAACAATAAATAATAATTAATATAATATACCTCTTCTTTGGTCCAATCTGTAGGTCGATCTACATTATCATTCTCATCTGTGGAATTTAGAAAAGTTTCTCTATAATTTTTCGCAATATTATACAGTTCAGAATTATATCGCATGCTGCGTCTAGCTTTCCAGTATTCTTTAGAACCATATTCATCATGCAGGGCAATCTCCATGTGATCAAACATTATAGATCTGTAAACAGAGAAGAATGCTCATACTGTGTTTTTATATAAAAAAAAAAAAAGGAAATATTTACTTGTATTGTATCGGTTTGAGATTCTGATAAAGATAAGATGCCGTGCCATGAAACTTTAGACATTTTACATTCTGAGTTGTAATATTACGATAACCCCAAAATGGACTAGTGTATACATGTTGCTTTGATTTATAGAACTGTAAAGAATCAAGAATACAGTCTGTCACTTCATTCTTATCTTCAAATTTACCCGTTTTGAACATTTCCTCATCATTTTGCAAAATATACATACAATCGAGTTGTATTTCTTTGCTTCCAGATGAGTACTCTAAAATCATATTGTTATAAAGTCAAGTAAACCATTTATATATATTTTATTCAATCCAAATAATACTAAATTAAAAAGAAAAGATACCAATATATAAATGCATTATAAATTTGGACATAATACAGAATAATTCTAAACATATTAAAAAACAAAAGAAAAGATACACACAAATGTAGAGTTATATCTTCCAAGTTAAAAATCAAATTGAAAAAAATATTCAATTGCTTCTTGTTACATGTATTGCGTGTAGCAAATTCTCCACTAATGTCAACTATGTTTTTTTAATTATCAATAATGCAAAATATTTTCTGCAAATGTGTGCATGTATTTAAAGCATTTTTAATTATATTATTTTGAAAAAGATATCCTAAACAAATTATATACTTCTGTAACATACTTTTTTTTAAATTTTATATATTCCATTTATCCCATGAAATATTAAATATAGAATTAAGAATTAATCTGTACATATTCAAATTACATAAATATATTAGTCCTCAATGAGATCTTTATATTTCTAATAAAAAATATAAAATAAATACCTTCCATAAATTTATACATTTCAATGACTGGTATATATTTTTGCAGGCTTGTTATATCAAAGAAATTACCCCAGAATAGATACTCTTGAAATCCTGTATTCTGATGTCGCCAATGATATAGATTACCTAAATCAAAATTGAAAAAATGTATGATTATGAATATTTATTATGAATTCTGTAAAATATGTTATCTTCCATTCTTATATGTTACCCCATGGTGGTAAAACTAATTGCCACTGATATTCCTTGTCTCTTTCAATTAATCTTTTTAAGAAAACAGCGAGACGAACATACACATCTCTTCTCAGGTTGAAACCTTCTGGAGGATTTACGTCGTAAAGAATATAACTATAAAAGAAACATATTGTAAATCTTTATGTAAAAAATAAATAGAAATTTAGAATGTATAAATGGCAGAATTTCTTAAATTAGAATAAAACGCGTGAAAATAAAACAATTCAAAAATGTTTAATTTTTTATAACTTATTTTTTTTCTGACATAAATTACATATAAAATCTCAATTCTAACCGTTTTTGCGTAAAGTTGTTTCGAACAGAACACTTTTTCGAATTTTCGGCATATTTATCGAATACTTCACAAAATTCAAGTTCGTTACCATTTACGATACACGCAAAAATAAAAATAATAATATGCAGAACTTTAAATATAAGCATTTCTTCGAATTATATGTATGTTAATGTATATATAAGTTTGTTCTTTTTATTTAGGTTTATAAGAATTTTTGATCAAGTTTAGGGCCAATTTCACCAAGTCCGGTTAGATGAACCGACGGTTAAAATTAGCAGGGTGGCCAAACAGAGCCGTATTAGCATCTTAAGGGCCAATTTCACCAAGGATGCGTTCCGTTTCACGCATTGAGCGCATAGATCGCCTGGAAATCTATAGTTCACGTAACATATATTATAGATTTCCAGGCGATCTATGCGCTCAATGCGTGAAACGGAACGCATCCTTGGTGAAATTGGCCCTTAAGATGCTAATACGGCTCTGTGATTGGTTTAGAACATCTTAAGATTGTGCTTAATTGTACTATATGGGAGGCCTATTTTGTCTCTTTTCCTAGCATCTCATTGGTGATTTCCATTTTCTATATGGAGGGGGACAAAATCACCAATGAGATGCTAGGAAAAGAGACAAAAGTCGCTTTCCATTTACATCAAACTCAGATAATTCTCACTTGCGTTCTCTCTCGCTCGCACGTAGCATACATGCGAGTGAGAGAGAACGCAAGTGAGAATTATCTGAGTTTGATGTAAATGGAAAGCAACAAAACATAGGCCTCCCATATAGTACCTCTCCTTTTACAGCGGGCGCGCGTTTGTCTATCTCACAATGCTCAATCCAGTCTATATATCTATGATCTGAACCAATGAGCATGCTATGTAAATCAATATGCAATAGGCGATTTTATTTCGAGTCTGATACGGGCTTTGCGCTATGCATATGCAGCTATGCCAATTTGTGTGTGATAGGCTTTAACCTTCGTGGCACCGTGGACCGTGAGACATGCATGGAGCTACACATACATTGACATACAACATGCTCATAAAATATATAGAAAATGGAATTGCCCGGCTTTTTATACTGTGGAAAGTTTGATTTTGCATGGGTTAATTGATGATCTAATATAACATACTTTGTATTATTTATCTGCTGTTATCACGCCGATTTTATTAGATATTTGTCATTTGTCAAGAGATTCTTTTGTTAAACAGATTTTATTTGTCAAATTGACAATCGGCAACAAGCAAAGTTTTTAACAGATAATGCATCGCGTAAAATCATGAAGTACTACGAGGTAATTGATTTTTCGTATGTTTAATGTAATTTTGGAAAACAAAGTGATTCATATAATTAAACCGAGATAGATACATAATTGATAAAGCATACAAAAAAATATCTATATATCTAATGTGCCCTCCTGTTAAACAGAATCCCGATTGCGTGCCTTTGGAGAAACTGCAATTAAATATTAAAAATGATGGAGTAATTATTGTAATAAGTGCATTGGTATGTGTTAATTTTTACACTATAAAAATGTAAAAATTATTAAAAATTTATTGTGTTATAAATGCTGTGTGATTGCATGCACACATCCACACACATACAGCAAATATTTAATATTTAAATATTTTATATTATTAAACATTAACCTTTTTAGAATATAAAATGGGCAGACGAACGTTATTTTTTACATTACAAAGTGCCAGAAATATACAATGATGATGGATCAGAAATTATGGGTGCTAGGGAACATTGGATAGAAGTTATAAGTTATATCATCGAAGATTTAAATTGGTTACTTGATCTTCCATTTTATAGGTATGATATACAATACTTGTATAGTTTTTATAATGTCAATGATACATATACAACTGCTATGTAGTGTCTTTCTCTTATTTAGATTTTGGTCCAACATTGTATACAATACTTCAATCATGGATACATTAGTATCTTTTTTACAAGAGGCACCACCTTTTTATGCATTAGAAAATTTTCCTAGCGAATCAGGAATGATTGAAGCGTTAGAAGAGCTTCGTTACAATGTACTTATGGTTTTTGCACGTCTTGCTACCAACAAAGAAAGTTCGACAGAATACATGAACCGTCCGTTTCTTGGAAATTTATTATATGACAATTATATATTTACAATACCAATTATATTTGATTTATGTCAGCTGTATGGTAGAGAAAATGCTAAAGTCATAGAAAAAATAATATCTAGCATATTTACTTTGCAACCAATGTACAATGATGATCTTAAAAAGTCTGTGACCTGTCTCATAAAGGTGATGTATGATGCTTAATAGTACAATCAACTTTTTGTGTCATACATTTTAATTATTGGTGGTAATTACATTAGATTTGTTATCCCACTTTCATAAATATAAGTAAATATAATTCTTTAGAGAAATTTTTTTTTAAGAATATGACACACCATTAATTACTGTTTGACAAAAAGTTGTGAATAAGGGTTTGTTAATTTTAAAATTATAGATTTATTTTTATATTTAGTCAATACTCTTATTAATGTAGGCTTTCGAAAATGTCGAACGGAGATTCGAAGATCATCTAGGTCACACAACTGAAGCAGTGGCGCTTTCAGAGAGAGAAAATGATTCCATCGAGATGACATTGTATAATTTAGAGGATTTGATATTGTACATTCTAGATGTATCATCGACTCTTACTGTATTATTAAAAAGTTATTTTCCAGTAGTTACCATATTTCATAGAGATGACTTCATAAACAAGTAAATAAGTTTTATTTTACTATTCATATTTAATCAATAAAATGTAGATTTCATAATTCTTTTAGAAACACATTCATATGTTTACTTTATTTTATTAAAAATCAATTTTTTTAATAATTAAGAATTTTTACTAAGTTTATGCTCTATTACATTGATACAGATATATATTTTGTTCAAATGTTATATATATTATCATTATATCGTATTCCTGTTTGCTAGACTAATTGTATTTTATGGGAATACAATACCTGAGATGTATAAAAAATTAGACAAATTAGCATATAATGATGAAAATATGCCAAAGTATATCGAATTGAAACATCGTCTTGATGTAACTAGAGTGGAAATATTAAATCTTTATCGAATTATTGTCTATGAACCTATATTAAATATTCAAGAAAAAATGTAAGTGTGAGAAAATGTAGTTTTCTTAATATATGAATATTCTACTTAAAGAGATATAATTAAATTACTAATGTTACTTCTATCTCTTTTTTCAGGAACGCAATAAAGGAAAGTGAGATAAGAAATTGTATAGATGAATATTTGAATTTACTGATGAATGCTATGTCCGAAAAGGAATTCATTACTGATTACCATGAGTTTTATCCAATTAATGTCGATCTTGAAACTGTTTCCACACTGTGCCCTGAAATGTATCCTTTTTTAAGAAATTACAATATTACAGAATTATATTAGAAAGATATATATATATTGTTATCCTAGTATTCTTTACATCACATAGTATTCTTTCATAATAGTGATGCAATAAAATATGATTTTATCATACAATCATTGTACGCATCGATTGGAGATACTAAAACACTAGTTAATGCATCCCACAATAATATAAATGTAAGTCTTGTGAACATATAGATAATATTTATTGTGTAAACATCCTGCTGTTATGTGTGTAGATGGCTGTTGCTGAATCTAGCAATGTTCAAAGCAATCAACAAAAAGAACATTGCAATAATATGAATTGTATAAACAATAAGATAGAATCTTCAAGGGATCCTGACGAATTGATGTCTCTTATCTCAAAAGTAAGAGAAATCTTGTGTGATTGTGGTGAAGGTTTCATACAGGTAAAAATTTGAAATATGAAATTTCTATATTAAATTAATTTAAAAAGCACAAAAGACCCCAACTTTTAATGTGTACACTTACAAAATAAAGAAAACATCATGTGTATTTATATAAATTTATGTGTGGTCTCCTATAAAACTTACAGCTATGTTTAAAGCACTACAATTATGAAGTTACATCTGTAGTAAATGCAGTTCTGGAAAATAATTTATCACATGATTTGAAAAAATTAGATAGGGCATTACCATATATACCACCAGATCCAATGGTAACTAATAAAATAATTTTTATTAACAAATTGTCAAATAGCAAAAATTAATTTACATTGTGTACCCTTAGGAAGCATCAGCTGCTGTAGATTCGGCGATTGGTATTCAAAGGTTAAATGTTTTTGATAATGATGAATTTGATGTTATGACACAGGACGTTATAGATACATCGAGGATTTATTTGGGAAAAAAGTAAGCTATTGAATATTTATAAAAAAAACTTGTAATAAAAGTTTTACTATCATACAATTCTATTAAAATATTACAGTAAAATCCTTCTATTCTGGAACAATTGTTTTACTATGTAAACTGAAATAATCGCATGAGCATGATCATCAGAATGAGTAAAAGAAAGCAAGTAACAAACAAATGTTTTCATTTTGCTTATATATCATTAAAATAAGATGAGTAGTGAGAAGAGATTCCAGAATAGACAGGTAACTTGATTTCGATAATTAGAAAATAGAGAAGTTTATTGTATATCTTTTTTCTACCAGGAAAGATAAGTACAAAGATGCAAATGAAATGTTGAATGATAAATCTGAAATCAAGAAATCTCGGGAAATTTATGAGAAGTATAGCATTGTCGACAATTACGATGATGAATATGACGATACATATGACAGTCATAACATTCGTGGTAATGCATTGGATGATTCTACAGAAATAGACGCCAAACCATTTACTATTCCAAGAGTTAGTTTAGATACTGTATTTTTATCTTTAATTTGTAATTTTATCAATATGTAAATTTTATCTTTTATGCAAGAAATTTTTTTTGTATTTAGATACTTTGTGCACGCGATAAAAATAATGTTAGTTCTGAGGATGAAACCGAAGTTGAAGATGAGAAGCCAGTACAGAATGACCATTTCGTACAGAATCCAGCGGAATTACGTGCTAAAGTCGAACAGCAGAGACAATCGACAAGAGAAGGCAAAAATGCGCGTGATGTAGTTGGTATGTTGCAAATTTACTTATATAATTTTTTTAAAACCATTTATATATAATCTCGTAAAGCCATTAAAACATTATAATAAATATAAAATTTAAAAAACACTCCTTTATTCTTATTCCATGAATATAAAAAGATTGTGCTGCTTTAAATATAAAAATTTGTCATTTTTGTACATCTTAGGTGAAATATTGATTTAGCACTTTGAAATGGTATTTCATAAAAGTAGTGATAATTTAATAAAGAACTGTATCTCTAACTAAGCGCTTACATGAGCAACTGCTTTGCTTGTGGCTCTTTTTTATTTAATCTGCTCGTTCATGACTTTATAAATTAAATAACTTTTGGTGACATCTTTTAGATGCATAAAAATTTGCATTTTTGACCGTACATCTATTTTATATCTTAAATTTTTTATTTAAGGTAAAGCCAAAGGTCAAGGGCAAAACAAAGATGTCCTGACTAATAGACATAAGAAAAATGTATACAAAAGTACGCAAGGCAATCACAATCGCCGCATGGGTTCTCAAGTAAAAAGAAGACAAGGAATGATTCCATCTTAGAGAACAGCACATTTTCAAGCGGCAAACGTGAAAAGTCTAGAATGTACATACTGCCAAGCACACGATGAATATATTTATATAGTTATTTAACACCATTCCACAAAATAAAAAAACATTCTTTTAACAATGCTTATCATCATCTCATTTATCTTTTTGGTATTGTTATTCTTAACAAAGAATTTTAACAAAGAAATATATATTTTTATTTGAAAATAATCTTGTCTTAAATATATATGTTTAAAGTTATATAGTTTTAGAAATATTTCTGGAAAAGTGTTACATTTATTTAATGGTCCTTCACTATAGCTAATGCTCTCAACCTATTCAGTTCGGTGCTTACAACTTGTTGATATTCTTCTTCAGTTACTGTCGAGTTCAATGCAAATTCGAAAGAATACCGAACGGGCATCAACTGGGTATACAATTGCGTTGTATGTCCGTAATAATTTAATTGTATCATAATCACAGCGTGAATGCTCGGATTGATGTATTCTAATCTTTTTTCGAGAAACGCCGGTAACTCTGTGAGTAATTGAGCGTGTACAGTCTTCAATTCTTTAGAGGCCGCTTCCTCGGCTCTGCGTTCTCTCTCCAATTTCGCGATATGACTCGCAGTTCTATCTTTCTTCTCTTGCAGCTTCTTTACACGATTGTATAAATATTTCCATGTAGCCACTAGATCTTCGCGCTTTGTTAACGCCGCAGCAATAGTGACAAATTCATTTCTAAATTTTTTCAGAGGTTCTATAAAGGTCTTATGGCACAAATTAGTCATTTCTTGAACATTTTTTCCTACCTGATAATTTAAAAATATAATATGAATTATGTTCTCTCCAACAAGAATATTAATGACACGTGCATTAACTTACTTGTGTAGCAACAGAAAAGTACTCCTCCACTATTCTTCTGTACTCATCATTACTCTGAGTTAACCCACAACTGATGAGATTCATACTTAATCGTTGATCCGCTCTATCCAAATTTACCAAAGCTCCTATATATTTCTTCATTTCCTTAGTTAATTTTCTTATTGTGTTTTCAATACTTGAAAAAAAGCACAAATATGTTGTACTACTCTTAAATATTTTTGGAAAAGAACTCATGATAAATACAATATATAAATATAATCTTTTATAAAAAGAAAAATATAATTGCATTGTATGAAAGTGCACGTATTTGCAAATTGTCATAGAAAGAAAGTCATGATGTGCAAATATATAATTGTTATATACACATATGAATCATAATCATTTTTATTAAAAATACGTACTAGATGAGTCTTTGAACAACGAGATCTAATTCTTGATCTTCCACATGGGATAAAAGCGGTGACGCAAAACTTGGTCTCTGGGTTAGATAGTTTTTCTTTAAAGGATTCCTGTTTGGTGTACGCAAATACATAATATATATATTTTGTATAAGCTTGCAATCTCATATATATACATAAAACGTTTCAATTATTTTGCAAATTTATTAATTTACTTACCACGTCATATTCAACGCCAATTAACAAATATTATCATAATAATTGTTATCACATATAATAATAATTGTAAAGCTAAATAAAATAAATTTATAGAAAACGTTACTGTTATTGTTATCTCTAATCCTCATTTGTATATTTTAATTATCATAAGTGATTCGCAGCGACATTTAAGTAATATATTTGTATGTATGTGGTTTTTTCTGTTCTATCTGCGTTTGCGCAATGACGTTCGTGGAACATCAGCTGATCACAGCTGATTAGATATTAGATGATCAGATTATCAGATCAGTGGTAACAGTGGCATAATCGGAATTAGAATTCCAGATCTCAGTTAATATACAGTTCAATGAAAGATTGCGAAATCTCGTAGAAAGTATAAAATATTTAACGGCGAAGATGTTTCCGGCTTACGCACATTTGTCAGCTTACGACAGACACAAAAAACTCATAAATGATTATTTGACATTTTATGGAAAATCTGTGTCGTTATCGAAGCGGGATACGTAAGTTAAATCTTTCATATTATAATCTGGAAGCTTGATTTTATTGGAGAAATATATTTTTGTCACTTACACATTAAATTTTCATTCCATTTAATTCCATTTTTTTTTTTTAAATATTTTTTACACAGATTTAATTGTTTTTTCTTTTTTTCTCTTCGGAGCTTGAACATGCTAATTTTTCTAAAAATGTCTAGCCAATCTTTGGCCATTTTATTCTGATCATACTAATATAAAAATTAACAAATCCGTGTTTATATAGTATCTAATTACATTCCACTATGTTATGCGATTAATATTAGATAATGTTTATATTATACATGCTTGAAAATTTATTCAAACATTGGATGTTATTTCTCTTTGTATGACATCCTTTCATTGGTATGATTAATAAAGTATGCTGGTCACATTAACACAATTTGGTCAAACATCTAAGAACTCTTCGTAATACTTATTTGGTCTGCTTCCAATGGCTTGCATTTAAATAATTATTCTTATTAATTATCATCCTTCCTATATCCCTTAAATTCTTTAATGTTTTTCTTTACAACATCTCTCGACTCTCATGATTTCATTAAGACTCTTGGTTAGGTTGGTACATTATTGCCCAAATACCATCTGCTGTACATTACTCTGGACAATAAAGAGATTATTATTATATATCTTTTTCGACGTATAAAATGTAGCATAGTGCATCTAAACATGCAGGAAACGGACTTGTTATTTCTTAACAGCACAGCTTTGATAAATATCTATATTTCCTTGTGACAGATTTATTATTAAGTATAAGTTATAACTGCATAAACTTTGTAACAAGCAGATCTTGAAGTTTCGACCTGTTTTGAGGTCCCGGGACAAAACTGACTATGATGTCATCAAAGAGAATCACAAGTTTCTCTGGGATCAAGAAAAGGATATTCCAGAAACATGGGGCGCAAAATTAGCTAAAAAATACTATGACAAATTATTCAAGGAATACTGCATATGTAATCTCACATATTATAAATATAATAAGGTATGAGACACACATCACGATTTTGTATTTTACTCTTGTGTATAAGAGTATGCATTTTGATTAATTACAAAAGTTATTTCCATTATTATATAACAGTACAATTTATGCAACATTTAGGTTGCTCTGAGATGGAGAACTGAGAAGGAAGTAATAGCTGGGAAAGGACAATTTGAATGTGGTAGTAAAATGTGCAATGAGAAGGAAAATCTGCGTTCTTGGGAGCTTAATTTTGGCTATATAGAACATGGCGAAAAAAAGAACGCTTTAGTAAAATTAAGTATGTTATTAATTTAAAAACAGTTGTACGTTATAAAGGACTTACATAAAATAATGACTTATTTTTATGTTAAGGGCTTTGTCCAGAATGTTCGATAAAACTTAATTATCGATCGCAAAAGCGTGAGGTGAAAAGGAAAAAATCTTTGAAACGTTTGGGCACAAATCCAGAAAGTAATAATGATACGTCTATTACATCCGATAATCGAGAATTGGATAATAAAGCAGAGACAAATCCTAGTCCAGCTGTGACACAAACTAATATCGAAAGCACTGATATAGACGAGTCAAATATTTGGAAAGAAAAGCCAGCACAAGACATGGAAAAAACGAGAGAAAAAGAGTTTGAAGAGTATTTGGCAGATTTGCTTATGTGAATATAATCGATTTAATTATAATGCGATATCTTATTATTGTAAATGAATATTGAATAAAATAATCTTGTTATGTTTACGACTTTTTGCTTGCATGTATAGATGTCAGTAATAATCATTAATTAAAGACACAGAAAGAGAGAGAGAGAGAGAGAGAGAGAGGGACACCACACATGCATACATTTGATTATTTCATTTTTTTCCATTATTATACGTCCTATAACAGTTTACATCGTATACAAAGAGAAATAGAATATTGTCTTATTCTCTTTCAACATAAGGCCTATCTAATGTTTTCTACTACAAGTCGAATAATTAGTCAGTATTTATTATGAAGAATTAATTATAGCTAATACTTGTTAAGTATATGATTAATCATTTAACAATTAATTAATTTAAAGAATATGATCGTATATTTTCGTTCTGTACACACTAGTCTAAATTGCACAGTTTATTTGGGGTTTGCTGCATCTCGCGTTTATTTTATCTTTTTCACGTGTGTAGTTTCAAGATAAGCTTCTATTACATATAAAAAGAGCGGGCTAGTATACTCAATTTTAGAATAAGTTTAATATCATCAATGTTTCTTACTATATCAACACTTGTTTTAATATAATACTTCTTAGCCTTAATAATAAAATGTAAAGTTATTATACAGCATATACAATGCTAACAAAGTCTAATATTTATAGTGTAGTTCAATATCTGAATGTTTCATAATATGAGCATTGTGCGCTAATTGTCAACATGACTGTATTCCACAGCTCTACAAAGGTATTATATGTATTAAGAAATTTTTTTTTTCACATAATCTACATATATGAAATGAAATCTCATTTTTGCATTAACTTGTTCTTTGAAAAATATAAATTTTCGTATATACATATTTTTAAAACTAAATGTTAACACAGAGTGTGAATCATCATATATTGTACTATATAATTCTTTGAAACATAAGATATATCTTACTTAATAAGCTATATATTATGTTTTATTCGCAATTTATTTTTTAGTTGATTTCAGTTACGTGAGATGATAAAAGTAGCATCTGATTAAAAAATAAAATATTCCTTCAGTTGCAATTTGCGTCTCTTGTACACCTTTTCATATGATTAGCTTGTTTCTGTGAATCGCTATCTTCATCACTGCAATCCTCATCGTGCGTATGTGTGACATTACGCGGCGTTTCTGGTCTTGCATGTGGAATTTGACTATTAAAATGATCCACATACAAATTTTTCTGAATAAAAACACATTTAAAAAATTACATTTCGAGAATACATTATTAAGACACAATTAATCTGCACTGATCAATTAATGCATCAGTTATTTGTCATATGATAATGAGATATAAGTGAAATGAGATATAATGAGGTATAAGCACTAAATACTTACAGAAGAAGGTCGATTATGTTCTTCTTCCTCATCTGCCAATTTAAACGTTCTAGAACGGCTAATCATTGGCGTTTCCATGACAAATCTCTGTTCGTGTGCGACTGTACTTTCATGTGGCATCTAAAAGTATAATACATAAAATTTTTATAATTGTTTCTTATGTAGGATATAATTTGAGTAAAAATCGTATATCTAAGTTTACAACTTACCAGCATAGCAGGTGCTCTGAACATATACGAAAAGGGATAGTAAATCAGATTCAAGAAAGTCGCCGCGTATAGATCGGCGTACCTTACGACTTGACTGCTGAAAAACGTTTGTCTACTTCCACTGCGAAACAAGGAACCCATCATGCCATAAGCCAAGTCCATTTTGTGTGTGACATCTCTTATAGACGCGCGTAGTTTAGAGATATCTGGCTTTTCCTTTGTACTACTGTCTAAATTTCTGAACAAAGCATGATACACGACATTAATAAAAACATACAAGTATACGTTCTTATTCTGATAATATTTATGACCGATCGTGCTACTCACTTGTACATTTCTCCGAGCATAACGTCTAGACTTTGTAATTCAGCGAACAATTGACACTTATCAGTCCAAACATGCAATTCTTGAACCAATTCAGGGACTATTAAAAATGTCCTCCAGCCTCTTATTTTTTTACTTTTTAAAATATCGCCAAATATATGATCACCGACATATAACACATCCTTTCCTTTTGCACCAATAAATTCTGTAAACACGTCGCACGAACCTCCTGAATACACTTCCCCTGTTTTAAATAAAACCAACTTGATTACATAATAAAATTTTATTTATAGCCACAAATAAAAAAAAAGTTTCCTAAATTACGTTTATTGAATTGCTTGACACATTACCTGTGTGAAGTGGTCCTTTATGTGTACCAAGTTTTAAAGCGCCCGTGCTCGTGTTCACTTGTCGCAAAATTGTCCCTTCTCCGAAGAACAATGGCTTTCTGGCATCCACCACAATTGTATCAAAATATGTTTTCCAATTTCTATGCGGTTCATCAGGCTAGAATGAGAGAACATGTCAAAAATGCGTTTTTATTTTATACTTTACGAATAATAAAGAGTGTTTTGTCATTAGAAAAAGAGAGTGAAAAAATTTTGAAATTTGTATTGAAAAGATTAATTTTCAAATAAAAAGAGACCACATGAATCTATATAGAGATTTTATTTCAAAAACAGCTGTATATATATAAAAATAATTATAAAGACACAAAGTTTTGTTAGTTGATGTAAATTTACATTTAACTCTAGAATGACATTATTAATAACGGGATAATAAAGTATTAATGGATATATATATATATTAGACTAATACAAGGATTTGTTAAAAATTGGCTCGATTATCTGTACCTGCAGTATCGCGCGTTTCCATCACAAAATAAACTTTAATGTCACTCTAGGGTGAATGATCCTTTAAATTATTAACTTTTAACCATGCATACTTCATTAATTCGTATGAAACTAATTTAAAAAATGTAATAGAACATAAATAAGAGAAGGAAAAAACATACCCTTGCACCGTGTGGAAAATCGAACAAATAAGTCATAATTTTGTCCGTGAAAATATAATCACTGTTAGTTAATAAAAATACTTTTGCTCCGCTCTCTCGGATTCTCGTAAGGAACATGGGCAATCTTTCGTCCTTCTTTACGTATTCGTCCAAATTCTCAATTGTCTTTGTTTTCAGATTACCGTGAAGGTGTATCCAATCTACCGCGCTTCTGACATCCTGAAATATACTTTTGAAGCTCATAGTGAGCTCACCTTCTTTCACTCCAGTTTTTTCTCGGCTAAATTGCGGCGAGTTTGTGAAAAAATCTATCAGACAGGCTAGCAAATAGGTTTCCGGTAGATTGAACAAGGTATTGAGCACATAAACTCTGGACTCATCTAATTGTAGGAATTTGTTTGGATAAAGTTCATAGACCTGAGAGCTGAAACAAAACAAATCAAATAGAAAGTGAGGAATAAAAAAACACAAATTGTGCAAAAAAAGAGTAAAATATAATATTTTTATTTCTTACTGTTTTAAGAACTCGAAACCATGAACACAAACTAAGATATTGCCATAAGCATCCACTTTCAAAAGATTTCCGTACAAGGTATCAAACCATAATCCACGAACGGGAAAACTGGGATCGTATTCGAAGGCCTTGATTTCATGCGGATACCCCAAGGACACTAGACGATCCTTGAGCAGATTAAAACCCAATTGCTCGTACTGCGGTGACTTGTACTCTAAAATGTTTAGCACAATATAGCTTCTTGTTTACTTTTTAGCTTTCTTATTTTTTAAAAAAGATACATTTATCGTGAAATAACCACCTGCCAATGTGTAATCCATATCAAAGCCATAAAACTTGATATTCTCCAAATGAAGACTCCGATTGACGAAGATCCTGTAAGAATAAAATTTGTCGATTAAGAAACATCATAAATTAATTATATTGCACGCTGATTCCAAAAGTGCGTGATTAATTTAATATAATGAAGAGAATTTGGCGGGACCTATTGTGTGTGTGGCGACGATTTGTTGTGACAGAGCGAATTCTCTCAAAATCTTCCTGCTGATATAGAAACAGAAACCTTGTGGTAATATCGAAATCGGTTTTTACTACTTTTCTCTGCTATGAAAAGCACTCATTTTCTTATGATATTAACATTTAAGACACGGAAGATTACATATATTAAATTTAACAAATTGTGTAAGTATACTAACGAATTATTGGTCATTGATAACACAAATAATTGTTGATTTTTTCTTCCTTTTTTAATCTTTATAATAAATTTGTATTAACTACTACGCGCGCGCGCGCGCGCGTGTGTGTGGTGTGTGTGTGTGTGTGTGTGTGTGTGTGTGCCAAAGAAGGTCATATAATCCAAGGTTAAATATCTCTCTCTCTTTCTTTCTACACACACATACGCACATACTCGATATAATTCAATTCAATTCAATTTTCTCATAACATAGCAAGTAATGAAATAATGAGTCTTCAAATCACGATCGCAAAGGATTTATTTTAAACTTATTATTAATTTTAATTTAATCTTGACCTTTGAATTTTATATCTGATATTTCATTGTCCGTAATTAGAAGAAAAATTTAAGTCCAGTAAATTTGGTGTAGCATATATTAAACTAAACATTCCTTAATAAAATCAGGCATTTATCTTCCGCAAAAAATCCTGCTAAGAAAATTCACGCACATACAAAACTGCAGTAATTGTCCTCAATGTATAATGCTGCTATGAATTAATTATCTTGAAACGTGTAAGAGAGAGGGAGGGGAAGGGAGGGAGATAGGGGGAGGGAGGGAGGGACAGAGAGAGAGAGAGAGAGAGAGAGAGATGACAAAAAAAATGTGCTGCTTATTTATGTTCGAGGCATTTCGAAATGATGCATTTTAATATCGATACATGTTCTTAATCCAACTTTCAAATATATCAAAATCTTTAAGCACTAAACATGAATTTTACGACGATTTTTTTATAACATTAATTGCGATCACAAACATATGTATAAGGTCCAACACGGACAATTTTTTTCTCTATGCCATAACTCTGATCATAAATAATTGTTTACAATTCCCTGAATTTCTTTTTTTTTATCTTTAATCTTTATGGTGAAATAAAAAAAACTTGAAATTTTCAATAATGGAAAATTATATGTCGTCATAAACATAAGTCAGGCACGCATAGTAAAAATAATTATCAATTCACAAAAATATGGTTTAAAGAGACATTGAAGCAAAGTAAAAGAGAGAAAAATCGCCGAAGCAATTTGTATTAGCCAATTTTTTTCCTCGATTTCGTAATAATCGAATATTTTCTTCGTTAATTATTTTTTCCCAAATTTCTATAAATTTTCAATAAATAAAGTGAAGAAACGGACAACTTACTCATTCTGCACGCAATGTCGCGGATTCACAAAATTCGCAGTTGACGAGGCATCATCGTTCGTATTCTTCAGCCACATTTTTCGCGGAATATCAACTAATCATCGGTACCCTACGATCGATTTGCGTTCTTGTTATCCAGCCACAACACAGAGATGCATTATACAATAAAATCACTAAAGAAATCAATTGTATAATGTGAAATAAAACATGTCCAGCAGAAACTTGAAATTTTCAGTTTTTTAACAACACGCGATATACGCGATAAATGTAATATAACGATACGGAAAGTTGATAAAACCACCAAAGAGGAAACAAAACATCGTAACACTAGCTGATAAAATTATTTACATTATTGCTATGCACGCGGGCGCGTAAAAGAAAGGTATATTTCAAAGAAGGATGCATGTGTGTGCGGAAAATTTTTCCGCGACAAACTTTCTCGTGTCAGCGCATTACCTAGATCATTCTCTGAATCTGAATACGATCACCTATTACTGTCTAATAACACACTCACTAAATTGACTTGAAAACTTTCAATCCGGATTATCACGATATTAATGACAATACGGTAAAAGTAGCACGTCGGAAGGAATGACAGCGTGCGTGCTGTGCGTGAAAGGTGCTGCTTTGTTGAAAAAACGACGCTGATGCTGCCCGCTCAATGACCGTACGTCAACTGGTCTGTGGCGGGTCGCCGTTGCCGGAGTCGATTAATACGCAACGATGGGAGCTAATTCATCGTCTTCCGGACACAAATCTCCTCCGAATTCAACGTGCGATCGTGTGCACGAATGTTGTGCAAGCTTTACCAAGGGATTACCTACATTAGAACAAAATGTCTGCGTGTGTGTATATTTGACTGTATACGTATACAGGATGCGCTTCACCTCGTAATTACGACGAATCGCGTGCTATTATGTGTACGTAGTGATAATTGTCTTGGTGCATCAATGCCACGTTAAGTGATATAGAGTCTCTTTATCCGCGTTTTCCCTTTTTTTTTTTCCTCCGATACCTGAGAATATATATATATAATGAGAGATGGGCTTTTATCAATAGGCGATATTTGACGAATCTTGCAGAGAGCGATAACATGCGAAAACAGTGCACGCAAATCTGTCCAAGTGAATCATATCACCTTGTGCTTGGTACATGTATGAGAAGTTGGGCAGTCTAATATTAGATTTGCCCGAAATCGTCAATTTCGATTTTACATGCAACCTATATGTCGAACAAACTTAAAGTCGGACGATCAACTCGTTCAACAACCGAACGAAACGAGTACGCGATGAAAAATTATATCTACATATGTATAATTTTATATTATAATAATAATAATAAAAGTAATATATTATAAAATATCATAGCGTGTAGAAATGTGTATCATCGTGCAACATAACAAATATTTCTCTCAGACTTCAAAATATAGAAAAAGATATAAAAATACACAATTTATATACATAATACCGAAGAATGAACATGAAGAATTTTTTTTCGTAAAGTTATTTTCTTATAAGGTCATTAAAGTTTCTTTAGCAGAGCTATATTTTAATTTCTTGTACATTGCAACTAATATCGAGATAAAATCAATCGTGTATCATATCTACGTATATATATCTATTTATGTAGTGATATCGAGGTATTCCGCTAATCAATTTCACATACGTAATCTCACTGAAGCACTCGTTTAATTGTTCCTAGCATGACTTTTTTTATCGCGGGTTCCGATAATATAGATTTTTAGTTAAATCGGTCAGACTTTCTGCACAAGAAGATGCGTTCATATTGAAACGAAAATCACTGCACGTATCGAACTTTCACTGATCATTTATTCACGGTGTCTACAGTGCGGTGTCCACATTACATTTGCGTACAATCATATTTTGGCAATAATTTCCGAGCAATTTATTTATTTAACAATTAATGTCACATAATTTTAAACTCGAGAAATAGATATTCAATGGATATCATTTAATCAAACTTTTTTTTAAAAAAGCTTTAAGTGTTGAATTATTTCGGATCTCGATTTAATATAATGCATGTATGTTTATTTTTACTATTATTTATCAATTTTGCCTAACATAAATCGATCATTACTCGAACAATATCAGTTAAAACAATTAGATTGATAAAGTAAGTATACAGAGTGGCACTAATAACTTGTTATACGATGTGAATGAATTATGCATACGTTTATAATACGCGATTTCAATGTAAGAGAAAACGTTGTTCTACAAATATCGGTCAGTAACTTGAAACAAGTTGTGCTCATTGCATAAGTCTCGTCGCTTGTAAGTTCATAATGCAGTGGTTGATAAAGATGGCTATAACGAACGAATGACCACACGTACATTAACGTTTAAAAAAAAGATATCTTTTCAGCAGTAATAATCAAATTTTCGAAAAACAAATGTGAAAATATATGTTTAATTCGCAAAAAATATTAAATTCTTTATGTTGTGATATATGTATATATATATATATATCAGAGAGAGAGAGAAAATAACAGAAAATGTTAATTGAAAAATTGGCAATAATTTTAGCTATATCATTTCATAATATGTACGTATAAATCTACATTTAGATATAAAGATACATCTATTAAGAATTAATATAAACTGTTCAAATTGATAAAAGCAGCCTGCACAAATGTATTATTTCTTTCTTTTTTCAAATCATATCTGATAAGAAGATTGATAAGAGTTGCGCAATCATAGTATTTTTAATCTTTCAATGAGGGATTATTACTATATTGTTTTATATACGTTAATTGTTCTACAGAAAAAATCTTCCAATAAGAGAAACATTAGTCTTTATTATAGTGACGCATTCTTATGAGGCAATATGTTGTTTGGTTACATTGCAACGTCAGTTGTCGCTATCTGCTTACCGAAAGAAATTTGTTTGCGCAATTCAGGCTGGAAATTTTTAGTCATTTTATCGCAATAAACTCACAAACGCGTCTTGACAGTTCTTGGTCCAGCGGCAGTATTGAACGAGATTACGATAAACAGGCGATACAAAATGAGAGAAATGCCGATAATTTTTTTAAAAGTCAATCGTTATATGCAGTGTAATTAATTTCCTCGTTACATCATACATAAATACAAATTAATTAAATATATAAATTTATCCAGAAACTTGTTAATTTAAAGTATGTATAAATGTGTACGTATGTGTAAATTAATTTTTTTTGTTAATTTCAAATAATAGATTAATTTCATTACTAATTTAATGTTAATTCTGTACTAATATGTACTTTGTCAGAGAAACAAGAGAGAGAGAGAGATATATGAAGACTACTTTACTTTTGTTTATAAAAATATTTCTTTGAATATCTAATAAATGACCGAGAGTATCATGAGAATTATGAGCAACGTCGGAAATGAGATTACACGTAATGAAATAACTGCCAGTAGCATAATGAAATTCTACAAAAGATTGCTAACCACATTGTCGTCGTGTAAGGACAAACCCCTTCATTATCTAATAATACTATTG